TATCTTAAGATTTTATACTATAGCACATTTCTAATAGGTTTAACGAATTACATGTCATTTATTTGAATTCAAATTTATTTTAATGACTTAGTATTTACTAAAAAGATGTAATTTTTTTTTTAAAAAAAAAGTTGTTATATGGATTTGAATGATTGTTTTGAATTCTTAAAATTTTGTGCATTTGCAATGTACTTAAGTTAGTAGCGAGCGAAGCGAGCTTGGTTTGCGAAGCAAACCATATAAGATTGCGTAGCAATTTTCGGGGGTTGGCGAGCATTAGCGAGCAGGCGGCGCAGCCCACTAGTTTTGTTTAATAATGGAAAAAAAAAATTTGAATTGTAAGTTGTACAATTTTTTTAATTTTTTTTCTTTTTAAAGTATCTAATTTTACATGGCAAAATACAAAATTTGGGATGAATAGTTCGGAGAAATCGAATTTTAAAAAAGTCGCATATTTAAATTCATTTCTCAGGAACTATTCAACCGATTATGCTAAAGTTTTGTATTTTGCCATGCAAAATTCGACACTTTGAAATGACGTAAAAATTGAATTCAAACAATTAAAAAAAAATTTCAACTATTATTAAATAAAATGATAAAAAATAATAAATATTTACAGAAATTTATTTTTTGCATGGAACGAACATTGGATGAAAGAATTTTATAATTGTGTGCAAAAAGTTTAAATTCGCTCATTAATAGAAATCGCATGATCTAAACATTTCTGAAGTTATAAAATTATTTTTTAAGTATTTCTTGAGAAATATGAAAAAATGTATTAGTATAGAAGTGTATCCATTACTTTGTCTTTACATAAGCATAGACATATGGTTATATGTTCAGTTACATCTCCGTGAAGTCATTTTTTTTTCCTAAATTGTTATATCTGTTCATTAGTTTGACAATTGCTTGTGAGCCGAGTTTTCTAATGAGAATACAAACCTGCATGTGTATGAGACATGCATTACCGTTTCGTTTAAACTAGTCTCACTTTTCGAGCAAAAATATAAAAAGATTAATGCTAAAAGATTTATTTTCGTTTTTTGAAAGACAAAAAAATATTTTTAGTATTAAAAAAAAAATTTAAGGTTAAATATTTTTCAAAATTGAATTATTTAATTGAAAGTTACAGTTAAAATGAGTTCTCTAAACTTTATCAATAAAATACCACTTTTTTATATTTTCAATTTGCGATGAACACTTTTTTTTTGTAGAAGTTTTAATTGAAAGTTATATTTAAAATGAATTGCTCTAAATTCAATCTGTAATGAACTGCCAATTATTTTATCTGCGATTCATCGTGTTTGTGTAGAAGTTATAATGTCGTATTCGAAAAGGATATTGAAATTAAAATACAGAAGGGAAACCTTGAAACTACCACTTTTATAAAAGAATAAAAAAATTTATTAATTTTAAACTTAAATTTTAATTAGTTTTTTCTAGAATTTCTTCTAGCTTTAAATTTAGCAATTACTAGTTAATAAATTATACTGGTTTTTGCATAGCTTATAAATGAAATATTTTTTATTCATCCATTTTTGCTCCAATTACTGAAACAGATTAGCTAACTTATAAAAAATAATAATAAAATGGTTGGAATATTTATTCTCTACCTTTCATTACAAATGTTTTACTTTCTCACGGAAAAAAAAAGAGCATTTTAGTCATGAAAACAAGCAATAATATAGTTATTATTATAATTACTTTTTTACCAGTTTTTGTATTTTTGGCCGTGATGTACAGTGAGCAACAAAAATAAACGGACCACCCTATAACTTATGATTTAATAATCGGTTCTTCACGTTCTGGGACTCAATCTTAATGGTTCAAGAGCGTGACATTAAATGTGCCAATTAATTAATGCAGACGATATTTTAAGTTACGAAACCAGATACAAAAAAGTACTTTCTGAATAAAGATAACTTTTTTTTTCTGATGGATTCGAATTTCTGTCCCCCAAAATAAAGGGGGGGGTAGCTGCAAAGTGGTAAAAATGGTTCCAATACGGAAAGTGGTTCAAAGTTGGGACACCTTAATGTAAATTTTACTTTTTGCGTATTTCGCCATATCTCAAAGCGAATTGAAAAATATTTGCACTCATTTATCAGTGTCGTTTATCCAATTATGTTTATCCCATGCAAAAAATAACTTTTATTATTTGAGTATCATTTTTTATTATTTTACTTAATATTTGTAGAAAAAATTTTGGTTTGCAAAGTATACATTTTTTTACATCATTTCAAAGAATATAAAAATATGGCAAAATATAAAATATGGGGGAGATTGGTTCAATAGTTCCTGAGAAATTTGATTTTTAAACGTTTCTGTAAAGTACGTTTTTGTGACTGATTTCGTTACTTAAAATATCGTCTGTAATTAATTAGCATATTTAATATCACGCACTTGAACCACTTAGATTGAGTCCTAGAACGTAAAGATCAGATAATTAGATCAAAAGTTATACAGGAGGGTCCGTTTATTTATTTATTTTGCGCATTGTACAGTGCATAAAAAAAGGGTAAATACCCTAAATAAGTACTGTTCTAATTACTAGGACACATCAATTCGAATGCCTAACCTTAAATTTGTTAATTAATTGATGCAAACAATATTTTTAACCCTTTGCTCTCCGACTACTTTAATCTACTATTTGAACTAATGCAAGCACTAAATTATTTAATATACATTATGCAGTATTTTTGTTTTAGAATTTTAACTTTCCATGTTGGGAAAAGGGGTGAAAGAAAGAAAACTTCTATTTTATAAAAAATTTCACCTCTTCATAAGTATGTAAGGGTTTGCAAATAACAACCAAAGTAATCAATGCAAGTTAAAATCTTTTATTTCATCTATCAATCCATCATCAATCTTGTTTTTTTAATCAATCATTCAAGTTAATTGCTTTATTTTTTGGCATAGAATGTTCAAATATGCTTGTTTTTGTTCGTAATTCATTACTGGTCTTTGAAAACGATTTTTTAATATGAGAAATTCCATGACCTAAACACGACTAAAACATTTCTAAGTATTTCTCGAGAAATAATTCTAATTGGCTTTAAACTACCTTCTTTTAATTCTGCTATCCAAACGTTTTTCAATGTTTCGAATGTCTTCTACCTCATAAATTATTGGTCCAGTTTTTACTATATTTTTCCTTGCTTTAATGCTATTTTGTGACATCTAATATGACTAATAGTTCAACTTTACTTTTGAAAGAATTTTAAAAATGTAGTTTACGGGCGTTGTTTATGGAATATTCTATGTGTAAAAAGGTTTCATTACATAATATTTTTTTGTTTTTGTATACAATATAATTTCATAGAAATTTAAAAAGTTGTTTCGATTGGGCAAACTGATTAACATTCCTTCATTTCGTATGACAAAAATTAAACAACTATATTTAATTTATTTTGTAGTTGAAGTGGATTTTTCTGAGGCCAATATGAGGCTTTTTTGTGAAAAAGAAAACTAAGTTTTAAAAAAGAAAGCTTCAGGATCAAGATTTATGAAAAAGTAAGAAAAAAACTTTCGGTTTGGGGAAAAAATGTGAGTTAATTATAAAACCGCATGTAATAATGTTGTGCTTAATAATAATAATAAATAAAATTGCCACCGTGAAAAATTTTGCCAATACTATTAAAGACTATTGAATGATTTCTCAGTTCTGTATTGAACATGTACTGAACATGACACATGAATTTATAGTTCTTTATTTCGCAATTCTGTATCCCGACTTAAATATCAATACATAGAAATAGTTTCA